TAACATATAGTGAACTCTGACCATAGTCAAAACAGTTTATAAGTACTACTTCCCTGATACTGACAATAAAAACAATAATAATGATAACTGATATTCATCCAGTGCTTTCAGAGTTATTATAGCATAGTGGATAGAGGCCCAACCTTGACGTCAAGAAGCATGAGGTTCCAGTTCTGTCTTTGAGACATACTCTCTATGTCATCATTTAACCCCTCAGTGTCTTGAGTAACTTTCAATGACTCTATGATACAAATGAATCAATGATCGGTATCAGTGGTGAACTTTCCACTGGCTGGCAGTCCCTTGCATGAATAAGATCATAGGTCAAAACTCTCTATTTTATTTATCTAAAACCTACAAAGCATTCCATAGATGTTATCTCATTTAGGACTCACAAAAGCCTTGGAAGGTAACTATTTTAGCTATTATTATTCCCATTTTACAGAGGATGAAAAAGGTTTAGGAAGATTACCTGACCCTTCTGTTGATTATACCAAGCTACCTCTATTTCTTCATACTAATGTCTGAATTGTTGTCATTTTTTTTATTTAAACACATAGACAAAAGCATCATCAATTTCTAATATCTTGATTTAACAGGAATATGTTAGAAGTAGTATGAAGTGGTGAGGATACCAGCTTGTCATTCCACCTCAAGATCAGCCCTACCAACAACTCCAGTTTTTCATTTTTGTTCCTAGATTTGGGCATGATAAAGAAACTCTTGTTTTTACTGCCCTTCACTCTATATATGACATATATTTAATACTGTAACATTTTAACAATAAAATGCTTGCCTATTTAATAAGTAAGTTGCTATAGAACTATAAACATTTAAATGAAAAAGGGAAATCTGCTACAGATTTTAGTGCCTTTATGAATAAATCTTACAGCACAATATTCACTTGCTGTTATTTTTTTTTGGGTATAGCTGTGAACATTGTCCTTTCTCCATAGAATGATAAATAATAAGCCCAAAGTAATAGTATTAAAATTTAGTTTATAATTTGATATGAAACATAAAAACACAGGAAATCCAGTTCTTTCTCCTGTCTTTATGTATATTTTCCCCCAATTTCTGCAATAGATAATCTTAGGTCAGAATATTTCATAAATGTTTTCAAATTTGTTTCTATTTTTTCACAATTGCCTAAACTGAAAATGACTCCTAAATAATCAGTAAATATTAAGACAGCAGTATGAAACCCATATTTAATACAAATGCATATCTAATCCAGGATTATTATGATGCTAATTGTCTCCATCAGAGAAAAAAATCATCTAAATAATTCTGATACACATGAAAAAACTGTTCCTGGGTGCTAAAACCTGAATACTATTAGTGGTCTCATTTTATACCTGTTATAGAACTCTCTACAACCATTTAATAAGGCTTGTGAAGAAAGTGCTTACTAAGTAGTATTTCATACAAGATAGAGGGAAGTTGCTAAATAAGTATGTTTATTCATTTAGAATTGATTGAGTGGTCAATACCAAAGTGTAATCATTAATGGTTAGATGTTAGCTTATCTCCATTGAAGGGGCCTTAGAATTTTTCTTGGTCCTGTGAGGCCCAACATGTTTAGCACTAGTTTGTATAAAGGTATAGATGTCATGCTCATCACATTTGCAGCAGATACAAAATTGGAAGGAATAGCTAATACAATGAACGAAAGATTCAAGTTTCTAAACGAGACCCTCTAAAACATTGGGCAAAATCTAAAACGATGAAATTCAATAGGGATAAAACTCTTGAGTTTTAAGAAATCAATTTCATAAGTATAAGGTTTGGCCTCATGGTAGTTTACCTGAAAAAATTATCTAGTGAACGGAAAACTCAATATGAGTCAACAGTGTGATATGGTGGTCAAGGAAGCTAATGCATACTTTGACTACATTAAGAGAGGCATGATCTCCAGGAATAAAGAGGGTAGAGTACCATTATACTCTACTCAGTTCAAGCCATGTCTGCAGTCCTGTGTTTATTTCTGGGAGGTGAATATTAAAAAGGCGACCATCTTTAGAAACAAATATCTTTGGAAAAGACAAACAAACATCACAGACAAACTAGAAAGCACTTGGAGAAAGATAATCAGGATGGTGAAGACCTCATGCCTCAGGATCAGGTGAACTGGAGAATGTTTAGGCTATGTTTAGCCTGGAGAAAACTTAACTAGGGACATACCTATATAAAGGGCTGTGATGTGGAAAAAGGATTAGGTTTGTTCTGCTTGTTCTCAAAGAGAAGAACTAAAAGGAATGTGTGGGAGCTACAAGAAGTCAAATTTTGGGATGAAATAAATAAAAACTTCATAATAATTAGAGTTACCCTAGAATTTAATATGTTGCCTTGGAGAAATAGTACAATTCCCTTCACTAGAGGTCTGCCTGAATATAAAGTATTACCACTTTTCCATGGTAGAAGTGATTCTTAAGTTCTAGTTGGATTACATATGGATTTTGAGATCCCTTCTAACTCAAAGCTTCTAAAGTTCATTCAAGAATTATTGGTTAAACACATAATATTCCTGCCAATTACCATGCTTAGTTCTATAAATACAAAGAAATATAAGACACTGATACAGGAGAGTAGACTTATAAGCACTTAGAAATCATGTAGACAATATATGTTATAGGAGTTCAACAAACAGGTCAGAACTCTATGGGGTGGTTTTGGCTGTAAAGATTTTATAAAGATTTTATAAAGAAAACTTAGGCTTGCCCTAAGTTTTGACAGGGGGAGCATGAATGAATATAAATAAGGGAACAATTATTATGAGAGAATCCGTAGTAGAACATGTTGAGTTTGAGACATCCCTGAGTACTCATTTTTGGAAAAGTAGATCAAGATAAGATAACAGAAAGCCCTGAATGCAAGGTTGAGTTTGAATTTTAAACTACATGAGTGGAGATATACTGAAGATGTCTGAGTAGGACAGTGACATCATAGAAAGAGTTGTTTTTGACAGAGTCTACTCTGGTGGTAGGGTATAGCATAGAGAAGAGTGTGGAAACACTGGATAGAGAGAAACCAGTTAGAATACTACTGCAGCAAAGTAAGCATGGTCCCACAGAATACCTGTTGAAAATATATCACTCTTCTTGATAAAAAGTGAGGGACTACAGGTGCATAATACTCTATTAAGACCACTAGGCATGGTTGTTTTGTCAGTTTTACTTGTTTTTTTGTTACAAGAAAAGGCTTATAGGAGCATGTATATCAAGCAATGACTTTAAAAACAAAAAGAATCAATAAAACTCTATAAGTCATACTGTGATATGGTTGTTCTACTAGGGTGGTTGCAGTGGAGAATGAAAAGAGAGATATTAGAAGCATTATTAAGGAAGATTCAACATAAATTCAAGTGTGTAAGGGAAACAGCACAAATATATGTATGTGCATGTACATACATACATATGTGCATATATCCAAAAATGTATGCAATGTGTGTTCAAATTATATTAGCTATGGATTTTTATGTTGCTACCCAAGACTACTATTTCATAATGAAACAAATAAACCATGTTTCATTATTTCTAGACTATCAAGTTATCCTCTAAATCCAAGAACATGATTTTGAAGCAAGTATTTTATTTTTGTTTTGAGATGGAGTGGGGTGGGATCTGGAACTATGATTTTATCAGTATGGAAATTTCCTCCATGCACGCAGAGTAGCAACTGATCTAGAACTTTACAGTCTCAAGAGTGTAGTCTCTGAACTGCATACTAGTCTGTGATCTCAAAGCTAGTATGTGTTATTGGAAGGACTTAATACCAATTCAGTGCTTCTTGTATCCATGGCATCTCTCTATCCATTATCCCATGATATACAATCACATATCACAGTGACTGGGGTGGGGGTGGGTGCTCTGGGTCCCCACAAGAAAGAATGTTTATGCTATTGACAAAGAGAAGAAATGTTAATAGAGGATTTGATTGGCAGGTAAAAGGCCTTCACAGGAAAACGTTAAATCTGGCTTCAGATTTGTTGACTTTGAGATAACAATAGAATTTTCAATAGGAAATGATATTGGCAATATGGAATTAGAAGTAAAGGCTAGAGATATAAATGTGGTAATATCTCACACTAGTTGAATCTAACTGGTTGAAGCTAAGCTAATGAACTGAATAGAATAAAAGGAGAAAATAATAATAATAAAAAAACAAAAGCCCATTTCAAGGGAGGCCTTCTTAAACTTTTCTTTGTCCTTCTGAAGACAGTCTAAACATCATAGGTTTATAGAATAATAGATTTAGAGTTAGAAAAAGTTCTGAGAATCACAGATAATAAATCAATCAATCCATATATATTAAGCACCTATGATGTACATATAGCAAGAATAAAAGGCAATCACTATACTGTACTGCATTAATTGGACCTAACAGAACCACAAATTGCTGTTCAGAAGGCTGAATACATGTATGCCTGTGACAAGGATCTGACTGATCACGTAGAAAGGAAAACAGCAAGTGTGGTATGGACAGTGCAATTTCTCAGTGAATCCATGCTATCAACACATCAAACAATGATGTGAATGAAAAATAGTTTTAAAAACTTTAAGATATTAGGCTATGTGCTATGAATTATCTAAAACACAAGGGATAATATTAGTTCTTCCACTCACCAGGCTTTCCTTATCTTTTTAATATAGTGGGGATGGGCATGAGTAGATAACACAGAAATTTATATAAATATTGAGGAAATCCTTTAGCATATACTGTTTTTTGTTTGTTTCTTTGTTTCTTTGCTTTGTATCAGCCAGATGAGGCAGTTTAGGTCAGTTTATACATGCAACAAACATCTTTACCTAATGTTAGTCATGTAATACTACCGATAGCCAACCTTTAGTGTTATAATTAAAAAATGCAGTAAGGAGTAAACAGAAACTTATTATTAGTACTCCAACAAAATCTATCACTTTACAACTGATATTTAAGCTACAGAATAAACCATTTATCTTCTTTTTTTAAGGAAAATATTTATTGTTATTTACACTTACCTACAATGTTATTCATAAGGTGCACAATGCACTCATCTCCTGTAATCCAAGGACGTTTTCCTACTTCATGACCATAACTTCCTCTGAAATGGAAAAGGGACACAGAAATACCTGAGCTTTTTGTTTTGGGAAATATTTCAAGCATTAGAAATTGACAGATTTCCAAACCAGTCTTCATAACTTATTTGTAATTATGAAAAAAGTTCTTAAGCAACAACATTTCAAAACTGTTTCTTTTCAACTTGCCTATTTTCATGTTTTCTGGTTATTTTTCCATTGGGAAAATAAAATTTATTTGCATTTTTTCAATATTTATAGTCTGATTTGTTTTCCATTTTATCTATACTTTAACTGATTTCTTTCATTCACAATAGGATCATCAAGTATTAAATCAACTGTGTAATCCCCTTCATACCTACTGTCTTAAAATCAGGAAGACAAGGACTAAAAGGCTAAAATAAAGTTAAAAATTTAGTGAAATATCTGCAAATTGAATAGGTTTGCAGAACCTTATGGATAACACTTAAAAATATTGACTAAAATACCCAATTCAGCACCATTCCCTGATTGATTGATTTTCTGCTAGTTCTTTCCATCTTTTTTCTCGTAATTTTTTCTAGAAATTTTATTTAATTCAATAAAAATTTTGAGTGTTTACTATGTATGAGGTACTGGACTAAATGCTAGAGAATATAATTAACTATCCCATAAGCATTCATTAAGCACCTAAAATATTCTAGGCCAAAGATTTAAATGGGGAAATTCCTCATCTTAAAGAACTCTGGGGCAGAAGATACAACACATGAACTGTTATGTATTAAGCAAGGTAGGATAAAATGAGTCAAGAAAGAAATCTTGTCAAAAGTGCTTTAGCAAAGGATATTAGCATTCAGATTAGTGAAGACTTCACAGAGGAGGTGAAGCAAGAATTGAGGTTCAAAGGAAGATAAGCAATCAGCAGAATTTATTCATTTTCTACGGTGCAATATATTAATTATTATCCAGAGATACAAAAGAAATAGAATAAATAGGTCAGTTTATATACTGACTAAATAGAAATAGAAGAAATCTCTTAATAAAAATGATAAGTGAATGGCTAGAAAAACATATAAAAAGGCATATGATTAAAAAAGACAATGACATAAAATTTTATAGCTGAAATGAACCAATGAAATCTGATCAAATCACTTACTCTCTCTGAGTCTCAGTTTTCTTAATTGTAAATTGGGGGGTTTCAAAGCCCTGTAAGGTTCCTTACTGTTCTAAATCTATGATCCTATGATAATTTAGTCTTAATTTTATTGATTAGAAATTTTACTACCCTTAATTTTACTGATTAGAAAACTGAAACCAAGAGAGAATAAATGACTTAATCAAGAGCATAGAGCAAGTTAGTGGCAGAGCTATGACTAAGACCTTCCTCTCCACGTCTAAATCTTATGTTTTATCTGACACAAATACAAACATGTATAAAGTAATAACAATAACTCAAATAGCATTTATGGTTACAAAATTCTTACACATATATTATCCAGTTTGATTCTTGCAACAACTTTGTGAGATAAATAGTGTAATTACTACATCCATTAAGGAAATACATAAATTGAGGATCAGAGAAATAGTGACTTATACAAGAAATATACCTACTAATTATGGCAAAGAGAATTTTAACCAGGTATTCTAACTCTAAATTTAGTACTCTGTTCAGTTAGTTACATATGTCTTGGCTAATAGTTAACTAATAAACATTTATTAAGCACCTACTTTTGTGTCAGGAATGTGCCAAATTTGGGGGATACAAAACAATGCAAAAGACAGTCCCTGCCCTCAAGCCGCTTACAATCTAATGGGGGAAACAACAGGCAAGTAAAAGTATACAAAGCAAGCTATATTCAGGATAAACAGGAAATAATAAATAGAGAGAAAGCACAAGAATCAAGAGGGTTTGGGAAGGAGCATCTGCAAAAGATGGAATTTTAGTTGAGACTTATTTGTTCTTCATTCTTTGAAGACGACCATGACATTAGGAAAGTGATACTATGACTTCCAAGTGAAGTGGATTTAAGTGAGAGAGGCTTTGCAAAGTCATCAACCTTACTCTCTCCTCCAGAGTCATCTCCAGATCCATCTTTAAGGTGGGACTTGAAGGAAGCCAGAGATGTCAGTGGGTGGAGTTGAGAAGAGAGCATTCCAGGGATTGGGGACATCCAGAGAAAGTGCCTGCAGCTGAAAGATAGAGTGTCTTGTTTGTAGAACAGTCAGAAGGATAGTGTCACTAGATCAAAGAGTATATGATGGAGAATAAGGTGTAAGAGACTGGAAAGGTAGGAGGGGTTTGGTTATGAAAGGCTTTGAACTCCAAACAGAGGATTTTGTATTTGATCCTGGAGATGATAGAGTCCCACTGGAATTTACTGGGTATAGGGGATGGCATGATCAGACTTGCACTTTAGGAAAATCACTTTGGTGGCTGAATGAGGATGGACTGGAGTGAGGAAAAACTTAAGGAGGCAGGTAGACTTACCAGCAGGCTATCGCAAATACTCTAGGTATGAATAATACCTAGAATATGAAGCTGGGGGACTGGGAAGATGGTGGTGCCCTACTCAATAATAGAGAAATTTGAAAAGGAAGAGGATTTAGGGGGAAAGATAATGAGTTCAGTTTTGGACAGGTTCAGTTTAAGATGTCTGAAAAGCAGCTCGAGATGTGAGATGGGAGGTCAGCAGAGAGGCTGGGGCAAGATAGGTAGGTAATCTTCTCTCCAGGTCAGACACTCTCTATCCTTGTCTCCTTCTTGACTCCTTACTGAACCAATTCAACTGTAAGTTGTTCTCCTCTGTCCAAAATTAGAGGAGGGATGAAAAGGTTTGGTAGAACCATTGTGAAGATAGGTTAGTGAGCCTCATCCAGATGGATGAGGAGGTAGCAAACGAGATTGAGAAGGAGCAGTCAGATAGGTAGGAAGAGAACCAGAAGACAGTAGTGTCTCAAAAACAGAGAGAGAAGAGAGTATCAAGGAAGAGAGTGTGATCAACAGCATCAAAGGCTACAGAGAGGTCAAAGACAATGTGATGTGGAGTTTTGGTGGAATAATAAGAAGAAAGTGAACAGAAAGTGGAGGCCTTTTCAAGAAGTTTGGCTACAAAGGACAGAAGAGATATAGGATGGCAGTGAGGATGGAAGGATCAAATGAGGATTTTTTAGGATGGTGGAGACTTGGGTATGTTTGCAGACAATGGGGAATCAAAGGGAGAGATTGAAAATAAGTGATACAGTAGGAATGACAAAAGGGGAAATCTATTGGAGGAGATGGGATGGAATGGGATCTCTTGAACAAGTAGAGTGGGGTTAGCCTTGCTAAGAAGCAAGGCTACTTCATCATGTGAGATAGTGGTGAAGGAGTAGTTAGAGGTAGAAGGAATCTTAGTGACAACAAATGAAGAAGGGAGGAAAAGGGAGTTCAAAGCAAATGGTCTCAATATTTTCTGTAAAATATGAGGAAGGATCTCAACTGAGAAGGCAGGGAAAGGGGGAGCCATGGAAAATTAGAGGAGGGATGAAAAGGTTTGGTAGAACCATTGTGAAGAGTGGGTTAGTGAGTTGATAAAAGAGGTATAGGATTGACTAGCAGCAGTGAGAACCTAGTTGTGGTGGCATAGCATAAATTTTTAGTGGACCCAGTCACAATGGTTGCATGATTTTTTTTCAGTAGCATCTGTATATGAGTCAAGATGGCAAACAGTGTTCAGCAACATCTGTGTATGAGTCAAGGTGGCAAATGGTGGGAGTGATCCAAGGCTGGGGCTTGGCTGTATATAATTGGTGATATAAGGGGACTAGGGATTCAAGAGAGGAGAACAACTTACAGTTGAATTGGTTCAGTAAGGAGTCAAGAAGGAGACAAGGATAGAGAGTGTCTGACCTGGAGAGAAATAAGGGGCCATGGCATGGGAGGTCACAGTGCACATGAAGAGTACGGTTTTGTGGGAGAATACAGAGAGACATGTGAAGAGACAATAGGTTATGATCATATAAGAGGATTTTTGAAGTCTTAAACATGGAAGTGGTATATTTGTGGGTGATAGTAAGATCAAAGGTATGAACATCTTTGTGTATGACTAAAGTGGCATGGAAAAGTAGCTCAGAGGAAGTGAGTTGGTTGGGGAATTGAGTGTTTTGAGTGTTTGAGGGAGAGTTAATATGGAATAGAGAGCCATGTAACAAACTCATTGAGGAAGGAAGTTGAGTGACCAAGGATTCTGTAGACAACAACTACTAGGGTTTTGTTTGGGTGGTAGATCTAGTATGAACCTCAAAGGAAGAGAGGTTATTGAGTGATAGAGATAGGGGGAGAACCTGAGAGTGGTGATGGAGAGCAAGCAATATTCTAACTCCCCTATCTTGACCAGTAAGCTGAGGAGAATGAGTAAAGGTACAATCAGTACTGAAAAGATTGGCCAAGAAGGCTGGCAAATATCTGATTAAAAACTAGATTCTTTTCACAAGACAATGAAGATATACCTATCTCCCCATGTTATTTTGGTTACTTTGTTCCAACATTTATTTAAATATTAAACATTGGCTAAGTCAATTCAAGTTAATAAATATTTATTGAGTACTTATAGTGACTCTGCACTAGGTATTATAAGCAACATATGGGATAACTTAAGTCAGGGAAGTTAATTGACTTCATTAGGAGCTAATAAGTGATAAGTACATACTGTAACCAAGGACTGTTTCCTTTGAAGGCAATATTCTTAAGGAGTATTGTATTTGTGTATTTGCCTTCTTGGGAAATAGTATGATTCAACAGAATGGAAATCATACTAGCTTTGGAATGAAAGGACCTGGGTTCAAATCTTAGCTTTGCCATTTACTTATCTGTATGATTTTGGCTAAATCACTTTATCTCTCTAGGCCTCCAATTTTCATCTTGAATATGAAAGGATGACCTAAATTATCTCTAAGAGTTTTTTTTAGATGTAAATCTATGATTCTATGAATTGTGTTGATTTCTTTGCGAGATTATGAGAGTCTACACTTCATCTTGAGAATGTTTTATAAATTGCTTCCCCCTTCT